GCAGGTACGTATTGACATATAATAACGATACGACCACGCAAAGCAAACAATATATTACGCTATAAGTTATTTTACATATACATTAGAAAATCGCATAAAATATTCAACTCTCAAATTAAGTTGGATAGGCAGTTTAAACATATCTATACAAACATCAACGTTAGTCAAAAAATCAATTTCAAGGCACTTAAAAAAATCTAAAATAGTTATTGTAATCCCAAAGACCGCACGACAGCTATATCGTTGGTACTTGTTAATTTAGACTTAATACATTATTGAATTATTCAACTAGCCGTGTTCCTGAATGTTACACGATTTGTGTGTAACACGAAATTATATAGGTACATCGTATGGAACGTATAGGTATTATATTGTTATTTGTTATGATATTATAGTTAACAACTTTAGATTAGTTGATAAAATAATTTGATACGTTTGCCAAAATACAATAGAAAGTTTTGAAAAAGTTTGCCTATTTTTATTTATCGTTTTTATTTTATTGGTTTTATTATTGTCACTTACTAGCTAGAAAGCGTATTAGTCTCGTCTAAGACGAATACACCTAATCCCACGGTTGTATGAAACGTTCAGCCAGATATATAGGGCTACACATATTATAAAGGAGTTTTATTCATCCTGCTTACATAGGTATATTATTTAGGTAATAAAATGTATAATATAACATGTTTTTCCACTCTCCAGTAGTAGGTGACGATTTTTTTTACTTATGTTTTAAGATTCAGCTAATTTAACAGTCTTGTTTATTTCACCAGCCGAATAGCATACGGGTTGAAAATGATGGATCTATCCATATAGTCAAAAACTCATAACTCTTCAATTGTATGGCACAATATTCATTAATACTGGTCTGTTCAACAAATGTGAACTTGTTCGAAAACTAAATAATTGATCTAATAATAAGGTAGACAATTATTTACGAAAGTAAATTGAAAAAAATACCTACCAACCAACCAACTTATTTATATAAAGCCGCTTCAGTTTTGCTCTCACGCCCAATTTGCCAATAAATAATTTAAAATAATTAAAGCTAAATTGGAATGTATTAATTATATTGTAGGGAGTTATAAAGTTTTAGAAGTTTAAAGTTACATAATTCCATAAAATATTTTTTTTAACCTAATGTAACTCAATAATTTACTGTCTCATCAAGCGCTCTCACAGGATAAAATCCCACCCTGGGTAAGATATAATAATTACTTATAAATTGTAATTTAATTATAACACATTGACATTCAAGTAGCACCGTTAAAATTTCCAGTGGGGCAATTTCCCATTTGACCCACACTGTCAGCGCCCTTGTGTCTTATAGTAATTTATAGTGAGTATCACATGCCAATATTAATGAGTAAAGCTCGGATATTATATTATAAATATTATATCAATTAGATTTGTTTTTTATTTAAAACCTTAAATAAATAGAATAAACTTAATAAATATTATTTATATGTAAAAAATAAAAAAATAATAATGTATCATACTTCAACGAAAATAATAGTTTAATACACATAGCTGAAAAAAACAATTTTGTAAAATAAAATAATTTTGATATAAATAGAAGTAACATTGAAAGAATAAGAAAAGTGTACATTTTATGAAATTATCTTAAATCTAAAAACATTTTACTAACTCTTTTGAGACGATCCATAATGAGAACCGAATATCGAAAAACAAAGTCAAAAATAATTTCGGTAGAACGCTTTTTTTAAAACAAATTGTTGGTCAAGTACCGTCTACGAAATATAAACTTAATTTTAAATATTGCATAATGTATAAAAAAAATTGTGAATTACGTACTTGATACTTATACAAAATTGTCTATACAATAGGTACATATAACTCGTATGTGCTTGTAGAAATAATTTGTTTCTGTGCAAACCTTAAACATGAATGTATAATATATGGCCCACTTCGTGGCGTCACTTTTCGATTAAAAATTTAAAAATTTACGTTTCTGCCGCAATAAAAAAAGTAATAATTTTGCGTATATTTCATACATCACGCGCTATATTTATGCTTACGATCGCGTGCCACATTATGTCCTACAACCACAATAATGTTTTTATTCAACAATATAGACCTACGCCGCAGCTTTCGTGTACAATAGCGGACCACAAAAACGGTATAAATATAATTCTGACCTAGTACAACGCAATGTGATTTTTTTTTCACCCTCCGGGATACCACTGTTATTATTATACCCGCAGTAAATCGTATACCTACTTTTAGTTTTGATTAGTCTTACACCTTAGTGCCAGATCAATATACCAGCGGTCACGGAGTTAATACAATTTTAGCACACGATATTTACCTATTTCCAAAGTCGTTAATTATCAAAATGTTTTCATTGACTGACATTTTTTTTTAAACTAAAACTCATTTAATTTTAATTTTAATCATTTTTATATACAGGATAACCCCATTTTTTCTTTAATAACGAATTTATTAAAATTCTTATTTTTGAAATTTTTAAATATACTCAAACACTATATTTTCAAATTCTTGAATCTTTTTGTTCTACTTAAAGAGTGGAGTATGGCGATACAAACATCTGATAATTGTTTTGAAAATGTTGATGCAACTAATTCACAATTTGAATGGGTTTCAAAGTTTCTTTGTTATTAAAATGTTTGCACTAAGGACAATAATCCTTGAAAATTATGCTACTACAAAAATATTAAATAAACTTAAAATAGTATCTAGTATTTGTATCGGTGAAAATGTTAATGACTAAAATTTTCAAATCACATAGCCCCACACATACACATCTTACAAACCCATTACCAACGACCTCTTTTAACCACAGAACACAAAGTTAAATAACTCAAAAACGACTTGTATCTATGAATTTTGATTTTATTACTTTAACATTTTCAGAAAAATCATCCATTGTATAATTTACAGTTGAAAAAGCGGGTTCTCATTTGTATCTCTAGAGGACACTCCTTAAGTAGTACAACAAGTCTTACGAATTTAAATATATGGTCTTAAAGTATATTTAAGAGTACAAAAAAATGTGATTTTGAATAACTAAATTATTGAAGAAAAGGCCCCCCGGGTTGAACAGTGCTGAGCATGTTTAGAAAATCATCCTGTATAATATGTATACTGTTTTTTTTTTTCATTCGAGATTACTAAATATATCTAATTTATTAGTTTATTAATTTAAATCATTTTAAATGTATTATTATTATTTTATTAATATCTATCAATAAACCCAATACAATTAAGTACTCGAAAAAACAGATACAAATTTTAATGTTTTACAGGCTACTAAAAGTGATTCTTTAAAAATAATTTCGATGCAATTATAAACAAAAAAATTAAAAATATAAATATATATTATTTAATTTTAATTTAAATCATAGTTTACCTCATATTAACAAGTAGAATAAAAATATGTCCATTTCAATACGTTATATTGTAACTATAATAAGAATATTTTATAGTATTATTTTCAAACAAGATAGTAAATAAATTATTAATAAAAAAAATAGAATTTATGGGACATGACTTGTAAAAAAATATACCTTTTTTGTCTCATACATACTATCCATAATAAATTCGTCAAGGAATCTATTTTAAGGGTTTACTTTTGAAAACAAAATTGACAAATTTTATAGCTACAACAAAAATATTATTGGTTTATGGAAATGTTAAAAGAACGTAAAGTTATTTTAGGTGATAAAATATCCTAAATTTTTAGTCAATTCTTAGTCTTAGTCTTCTAGTAAACTCATCTTATATGTTACATGAAAGATGAAGTTCGAAAGCATCATAAAATATAGAATAATTTCTGATCGTAGTTATCAACGGTTCAATAGAATAGGATCATAACATAATAGCTTTTGGCAAGATATAAGAAAATCTAAAATTATATGAAATTAAATCCGTTACAGTCTGCAATATGAACATATCTTACGTATATTTAAATATTTTCCATACCTTGTTGAAAAATAAATAAAGATATAAGATCTTGTGAAAAATATATTTTAATCATATGAGTGTATGCATTACAGTTAATCGACCTATAGTACATGATAACATAATATACTCATTCAAATTGACGAAACAACTATTTTCAATCGAAACATAAGCGTCTAATGAGATTAATAAAGGTGTATTCATGAATTAACTCATTACAAATTATAAGAAATTATTTTCATAGAAGGATCATGTATTTAAGTATAAGTATATCTATATTTGTTTTTATGGAATTGCATTACCTCTAAATTATTTATAATTATTTATAATTTATAATTTAAGTTTTAAAATACTTATTGAGTAGAAAGTACACATAATACGTTTGGTGGCTACATTATAAGACTAAATTTATGTTATGCTTTTACGTTGTGCATTTTACACGTTTACAACATTAAAAAAAAAACATTTTGTTATTAGTTAGTTTTTAACGTTTCTTTACAGACTAAAGATTATTATTATATTAATATTATAAACTAGATATTTTTATAAACATTTTGAAACAAATAAAAAATATTTGCGAATGTATATGTTGAACTATGTTATTTGAAAATTTGTTAGGGAACTAAAATATTGTTTAGTAAATATAATACACACTATGATGGAATAATGCAAAATAAGTTTAAATCTCAGATTATTGTACAATTAATAACATCTGCAGCAACTGTAATCGGTTAGAATAAATAAATTATAAATTAAACTTTGAAGTTATACGTACATATGAATATGCCACGTCGTTTTTATATATGGATCAATATTTTTCAATAAGTTACAAATGAAATAATAAAATATCATTGTTACATTTTTGTTTAATGATATATTTTTATTATTATTAAAAGTCCAACGAACATGAACCAAAAGTGTGTATGTAGTTAATATCGACTAAAAATATTTGTCAATTAATACGCACATCTTAAATTAAATACCTTGATTTAAAACCATACTGTTATACATTGTTTTGAACCGTCGTGATTTATTATCGTATTAATAATATTGTGAAGTGTTTGTTTCAGATGCCATAGAATGGAACGAATATGGAGGCTGCTACAAGCGGCTTCCTTTCTCGTACCGTTACTACAAAACGTGCTATCAGATAGTTCAGACGTGTAAGTAGAATCATTAAATAAAATTACACCAGAATAATATATTATTGTATTTAAAATTAAAACCAACGACCAACAAAGCTAAACTTATCAAGACTTATTACCTAGTAAAATATATACCGGTGCAATATTGATTAATATATTAATGATTTATACCACATCATATAATATTATAATACCTTTCTCTTTGCATTGAACTTTTTGAGATTTTCTATTAAACTTACAAATTAGTAATCGATAAAAAAAAAGGTGCGTTCGGAACTAAATCGTATCCGAAAATTATGTTTCGATTCAGTTGCACTCACGGTAAAAATGATACAATATCTTCCTATTATTTTCAATCTCGCTTTTACAGACCAAAAACTATAATTTTCACAAATAAGATTTACACGTACCTTTTGAAAAATCTTTGATTATTATAATTTAAAAACTTCTGTAAAGCAAACTTTTAGCCATTAATAATGTATAATTGTTTACTCTTTTTCACTTAACATTTTATTAGCTTTCATTATTAATTAATACATTTCAATTTCAAAAGTTTAAAAGTTTACAACCTCGTTGTCGCGGGTTGTGAAAACCTAAGCAAAAAACTGATTTCTATCGATACATCGCTGGACGCAATTCAGTTGTCGTGACTCAAATAATATTATTTTTGAACACAATTTGTACTCCACCATATAAACTGTAGATGGAAAAATAATATTCCCTTCGCTTCATTTTTTATAACAAATAGTTCCTTGTTTTACTTTAATCAAAATTACGGTCTTGTGAACTGTATACAAAATATAGGTCGTTTTAAGTTATCATAAATTTCAAAAAGTAGGTATATATTATATTTTATACCGAGTTTAAAAATTAGTTTATTTTAATTTAACCTATATATTTACTTTATAATCTCTCATATTATTTATATTCTTTAGGATAATTCGATTTAATGATTCGAACTTAATATTGATAATAGTATGTTTGCAGATAGTCTGTGTTAAGTGTATTAAATAAGCTTTATAGTTTAAAGCAACTTACAACATATTATATATAATTGCTATAGAACTTTAACTGTTTGAATTCATTAAATATTTCACTTAAGGTTTGAAAATGGAAAATCAGACAAAGAGATACTTGATAATTTGGTGAACCCAAACAGATATGACAAAAGATTATTGCCACCAGTGGATGGTAAGTAATTTTCAATCGATTAATATTCCGTTTAACAATGACTATATCGACGGAGCCCATGAGGTAAAATAATAATAATAAGCCTATATAATAATTACAAAAACTACTTTTTAATTTTTTTTTTCTTCAATTTATTACTATGTAAATGTGGAATTCAAAAAGTAAAAAAAAAATAAATGTACTTTTTTTTAGTGTCAATTACCAACAAATAATTACATTATATATTAAGTCTTAAGGAAAACATAAGAACTAATAACATAGTGAATAGTCATATAGTATAATGTTCATCATATTCAGCTCGAAGACACTTGATCACATTTTTTAAGATCCATTCTTTTTTGCATAATTTTCTATGTGTATAACCTGGAAGTCACTCTATACCATATGATATTATCATTGGATGTATAGGTGTTTTTTAGTTTATAGGTAAATCGCATATAAGTCATTATAGTGGATCTGTTAAGAATTTAATTTGAAACATAAAACATTGCATGTCATAAACAATTTAATTAAATATTGATTTAATTGATGGGTTAATATTTTTTTTTAATATATTATACTAAAATTATTTTTTTATTTTGAGAATAATTACATTTTACATAAATCAACATAAAATATTTCATAATTGATTTAATCTAAAAATCTTAATAAAATGCAGTCACTGATTCCACTAGAACAATTTTATAGTAAATAATTTTATTTTGATTCCCAATTTTTTTTATATGCATCGTATTAAAGTTCTTTAATTTGTATACTTTATATGTATACTTTACTTTTACCTTCCAACCCCCAATTGACCTTTGATCATATTTAATTTATATTTAATTGTATATTTACTACTGATCCCTTCCCATTTTTTTCATTTTGTTAAAGTTCTTTAATTTTGTATGCATTTATACATGTCTTATTCCAGCGAACATTAAGTGACATCTGTATAATAATTAATAATTTACTAACAAAATTATTTGGTATTAATTAATTGAGCTTAAGTATCAAAACTATAGAAGACAATCTCTAGCTTCCATGACAACATAATTTTATTGTTAATTTAATTCATTTGTTTTTTTTTAAATTAATATGATTGCTGGTTGTTCTGTTCTTCTTGCCCAATTATATTTTCTATGTTCTACTGAAGTCAATTTATTTGTAAGCTCTATCCAGTGAGCTCTAAGTCACATCTGAATCACTTGTCTTTGAAAATTAATTGATAATAGTTTTTTACAGTTAAAATTCCACATAGATTGCAATCTCCGATTCCGTAATTTTTTTTTTGCTTTTTAAATTGTATAATATGCCCACGGGCCGCCCTTGATCCCCTCACGAATTTATTTTTGTTTCTAACTTACACTCAAGTTAATTTATTTTTTAACTCTTTCCAGTCATCTTTGAGTGACCTCTGAATAATAATTAATTAATGAATTCTCCTGCCGTTGTCCCGAGACTTAGTATTGACACAGTGATAATGAATTGTTTAATTTAATAATTTACACAATACCTACTAATAAAATGTTTATGAAGTAAATATATACGCATTACACGTATGGATAAATGCATAATATTGCAAGCTTCAAAATGTATAATGATTCGCTTTTAAAAATATTGCATATATTTTCCAAAAACCTTAGAAAAAATATGAATAATTTATATTACGTATTACACGGGTAAAGTAGCAACATTATACGACCTCATCGCAACCATTTATCGCGTGACTCAATTTCAGACGTTTTTAGAAGTGGAGTTCGTCTCTTTATTCTAGACTTTTTATAGCCCTTCTAGATCTAAAACTGATCCATGTGAACAACCAACTAAACCTACATAGATAGCAATACTATTATTCGTATTGAAGCAATTACTTTATATGTGTTAGTAAATTATTAATAATTACTGTCTAAATTCTAATCCAAACTAGAATTATAATATATATTTTAAAAATACAAAATATTTAAATACTCAATACTTTCTGAGTACCCAATATCGGTACCACTTTACACCGTCTCATTTTAGTTATGAGACAATTATTGTCTCACAAATAACCCGCTCTCACACCACCACAACAAAACAGTTTGGATCCTTTTCGTTACAATTACATTCAATCTTAATGATAAACGCATAATAAAATAATAAACGTATTTATTACTACATTTAAAACTTGTTTAATTACTAATAATAAAATAATGTTAGTTATTAGAACAAAAAAAATAGTGTCACAGTTTATAAAATATAACTGACTCGAAAACCCAACCATATCTCATTTATAATAAGTATTATAAGGCATTTTTCATTTTTCCTTCCTCCATGCTTAAAATTCACGCGGTGTGGTTTAGTTTCTATGGTCGTTTACAAACCTAAAAGCATATTTTATGATATATAGGAGGTAAATATAATATAATACTGTGTACCTATAACAATAAAAACAATGCACAGAGCGCCAGAGACCAACTAAAATTATTCTCTAGTTCACTTTACTAAGCTCCGTATATAAGCTTGTTAAAAACGATATTTATAAATTATTATATCGTAGGTAATTATTTTATGATGTCTTAAAACTGAAATATAATACAAGAATGTGTAGATTCATAGAAAATGTATGATTGGATTAAAACGTATGAACGAAAACACTATTGTCAGGGTAGATGAATAATCAAAACAATAACTGCAGTTATTAACTAATTCCAAAATTGATCCTATGTTTGAAAACAACTATTTTTCTGAAGATATGAAAATCGTGTGCATGTTTAGATCAAGATTTTTGTTGCGGTATGAAAACGCCTCAAGACGTGAGAGTGATACTTCCTTCGGCAAACAGACATCCTATTCGTAAAGGTATGTGCCCATGGACATCATATTAAATTTGTTCGACATAATAAACATACCTAATATAATAAAATCATGAATTTCCAGGGCCCTTATTAGTAAATGTCAGTGTGCTATTACTCAGTCTGGCCTCGCCCGACGAGTCTAGTTTGGTAAGGAAACATATTAAATATAAATCGATCGTTTTAAATTTTAATGATATATGCAAGTTCGTGGCACCACCGTCTATTCACATTTTCCTACACGAATGCTCACAATATTTCGTTTGTTTCGTCTAGAAGTACGAGGTTGAATTTTTACTGCAACAACAATGGTATGACCCTCGTCTGCGGTACTCGAACCAAAGCAGGTATGATTTTCTAAATGCTATTCACCACCACGGGGATATTTGGGTGCCGGACACGTATTTCATCATGCACGGCGATTTCAAAGCATCGCTAATACCAGTACACTTTTCTCTGAGGATCTACAGGAACGGCAGTGTCCATTATTTAATGAGGTAATTATAACCGTGAAACTCACTCTTGCCCGGTCCCATTCCAAATTTCAAATATGGGATATCTCTGGCTGGTTGGTAAAGTTTTGTAGTTGAATCGTTAGTGTGCCCATATAGTTGTATAATACGATAGGGTTTCCCGAACATTCGTTAGATCCTGACCGGTAGTAAACGTATTTGCACGCCACTCTAGGGTCACGTTGGCTGTGAAATATTCCAAGGAAGCGATAAGGTGAATTTGGTAAATTTAATCTGCCAAATCCCACAACTACAAAACTTTAAAAAGTGGCAAACGTTTATTGTACTAACATACGTATTTTGAAAAATTATAAATTAATATGTGTAGAAAAAAAATTAACAATTTTTCAGACGCCATTTGATCCTGTCTTGCCAGGGTATATTGAACATATTTCCGTTTGATGATCCGCAGTGCACGTTTTCAATGGAAAGCAGTAAATATTTTATTTTCATAACGTTTATATTATTAAGTGATAAATAAAATAACAAATTGATTTTCGTGAACAAGGTACGACGATCTGAATTGTATCTTGTTTTTACGACACGACTCATCATAAAAGTTATTGGTTTGTTTTCATTAAAGTAATCAAGTGTGACTTAATAAAAAGTATTTTTATGAGATGAAAAAGTCGTAAATACTATTAATGTTATGTTATATATTTCATTTTTGTGCGTACGAGCAACGAAATTGCATTTTTTTTTTTTTTATCACTTTTGATTGTCGTCTATTCTGTTTAGTATCATATGAAATGTCTGCTATAAAATATGTGTGGAAAAATGATGAAAGCACTTTGAAGAAGTCACCATCGTTAAAAACCTTAAATGCATACTTAGACCGAAATCATACAACCGAATGCCCATCTACTGGCAGTTGGAGAGGTAACATAGTATATTTTATGTTTACGATTATAAAATGTTCGTATTATTGATATTTAACTATCATTGTTTCAGAGAAATATCTATGCGCTTTAAATTAAATTTAAAATTTGCTATTTTGCTATTTGGTAGATAATTCCTGTCTAACAATTAATAACTCTAAACGAAACACGCTTAGAGTACACACATGTGATAAAATAAATACCATTTTTCCGGGTGTCTACCTCAACTATCTTTATAACAAAAAATATGGGCAATTAAAAACTCCATTCATAGTTTCAGACATAAAAAAATACACAAATTTAATACACAAACAAATGAATAATATAGGTACCTACATTTAAATTTTAATGAACTTAAAATATTTTGTGTTATAAAAATACTGATGTAATTTATTTTATCACTTTTAAATTACTATCCATTTGTAATAAATTATTATTATTAAATATTGTAGTTTTTCCAACATTTCTAATATTACATATTATTAAGGGGGTATTATATTATTATAGAGTATAATTTAAATACATAATGTTGACAAATAGTTAATTATTTATAGGTAACTATAGCTGCCTTGAAGTGAATTTGATTTTTACCAGAGACAGAGCATTCTATTTTACTACGGTTTTCATACCTGGTATAATATTGGTGACTTCATCATTCATCACGTTCTTTCTTGAATGGAATGCAGTGCCGGCAAGAGTAATGATAGGTATTTTATTTTAATCTACCGTAACTATATTATTTCATTCAAAAAGTCCAAATGAAGTATCCTCCATTTTTAATAATAAAGTTTACAACAATCATTAAGTAAAATATGTTTAGAATTTTAAACATTTTTACATAATATGTGCAATTAATGATTTATTTAAAATACTGTTTAAATTATTTAAACAGTATTTTGATTCAACTGACCAGACATTTACGAAATTCTAAATAATTAATCGGTATCTATCATAATCATCCACATAAGCAATATAGATAACGTCCAACATACAATATTATTATTTTGATAAGTCAAAACAAAAAATTGATACTAGATCAATATAATTTAAGTATTTTATAAACTACAACAACTTCTAGCCATCATTTTTGTTAGCAAATATCTAGTTCCTTAAGTGTATAAACATGATTAGCACTAACTTTCCGTATAGTAAAATAACACGGTGTATTTTAGGTGTAACTACAATGTTGAATTTTTTCACCACATCAAACGGTTTCCGAAGTACTCTGCCAGTGGTATCAAATTTAACAGCCATGAACGTTTGGGATGGCGTGTGTATGTGTTGTATATACGCCAGTTTATTGGAGTTCGTATTAGTAAACTACGTGGGACGAAAACGTTCAGACTGGCCGTTACCAATTGTATACCAGAATCAAGATCGAGACTACAAACAAATAACGCAAGTAAGGTTTCGTTGTACTTAGTTTTTCTTTTTATATTGTACACGCACACCACATACCATAAAATACGTATCATATTCCGGCAACTTAAATTGCTTGTGACTCATACCTATTTATATTATCGTATGGACGTTAAAACTCCTTTAAAATATCAGTTCTCCAATTGTTAATATATTATGTATGCGACTCCCGGAGAGTTCAATATGGTTAATTTTATTTAGTGATATGTCTTTAATTTTACTAATACATTATCGGTTATGAGTCATCACCCATTAGTCGGTAATCATTAGTAATAATTACATGTTATTATATAATAAACTAAAGTTAAGAGATAGGTAACTATAGAAGTATATGAAACACACCAAGCCATCCCTTATTACTTGCATTTGTTATTTACTGATACTTAATTCAAGTTTACTTTCATTTTAAATATTAATTATAAGTATTACAAAAACATAACACCAGGCTGTAATTACAATAGGTAATTGATTTTACATAATACAATTGCATTCGCATGTAGCAATCCCAAGAAGTTATCTCTTCGAATTACTGATGAAATATTTTTTAATCGATTAGAAATGGATCTAGAAAATCCGTCTGTATACTACACGTTTTATTATTAAACGAAAATATACATCCAAAAAAGACATAAGGACATTAAATTGTTATACGTTTCTACTGTAAAAAGTTATTATTTGAATAAAGCAGTTTTATTATAGAAGTCCTATATTATATAGCCTATATAATATAGGCACACGGCGAATTTGGATTTAACCATATAAGACATTAATATAATAACCTGAAGATCGCTAAGGGAAATAAAATCGAACCTGCCTCATATTTTTCATATGATAACGGGTACATTCTTAAACAAAAATATTAACAATAATAATAAGCAAATATAAAACTACCTAGGTGTATACCAGAATGAATGTGTCACAAAGACTTTTTGCATGGAAATATCGTACAATAAGGTTATTACATTTGCATTTTAATATAAAAGTGATAAAAATACTATATGAGACTATCCTCTTGTCTAGAAAGTTCGTGTGTTATATTATACTTTATCCTGTTATGACATAATAATAACTTTATGAAACTTATAATGTCGTCCCGGTAAACATTTGCACACACACGTTTTTCACAATGTGTGTACACATAACAAAAATTCCACACCTGAAGACATCACAATTACATTAGACGTCTGTCTTCATTTATAAAAGTCGTTTTAGCGATATTGTGGACAGACGTGCAGTGTATTTCTAATTTATCAGATGCGTGATTTGATATTAATATTCCGATCCAGTCAAAGGTGAATCCAAGATAAGTTTATAGGTAGTGTGACGATTATTATTATTTCACACATTTATAAGATACTAAATTGATAATAAATAATATAATTTCTTGCAGGATAACAATGAAGGTCAACATGTACGTAGGGGCTCCTATAAGCACTCTACAGCCCCCCCCCCTCTCCCCAAATAAATGCACTGCAAATGTTGGTTGTTTCATCAACAACGTTGTAAATCGTATTTTGTACTTACTTTGCATACAATAGAAACCAGAACAAATATTCAAACGCACGAATATATTCTTGCTATAGTTATCACTCATCTGCAATCTTCACTTATCACACTTCGACGTAGGTAACAAATGTAACGACCACTGCGGTGTAAGTGTATTACCTATTGACTTATAATTGACTTTTACCGATTTATATATGACTGTAAGACTATGACGCCCTTAGACAAATTTATCAATTTAATTGATTGATGAATGACAAATATACAGGCATTACATTTGATATTAATTACATTTATTAGGTAATAGAAAAGTTAGTGCTAAAATCAGATCATTATTAATGTCATGGCTCCATCAATCACGTAATAATAGAAAAGGATAAATAATTTAGATAAGTATCTCCTTCCAATGTTCATGAAGGTCTGGTCACGCCTAAATTGAGTTCTGTTTATAAACTGAGAAAAGACTCTTCAGTATAAATACCTAGTACATAAATAGTTTATTATTATTTAGGATATATTCTGTATGTTGTATGTACAATGTAATAAATTCTAACATAATTCGACGAAAAATGTAAATAATAAGTACCTAGATAGGTAGTGACTACCACTAGTACCGTTAGGCACCAATGCATTTTATAGCATATTGCATTACCTATGTACAACGTACAAAATTATATATTTATTAAAAACGTAAGCGCTTTTTTAATGCCTTTCAGCTCTATTTCGTTTTTTTTTTTATACAAAATATAACAAAATAAAAGCTGATAAAATAATTTTTTCTCGATATTCCCACAGCGTTACTTAAATCGACAAGATGCAAATCAGATTAGTTATGAAAGTTATGTGGATAACGAGAAATATTCAATATACGTAAGATTTTGGATAATAATTAAGTAATATTGAAGGAAATCGGATACAATGTATTTATGTACCGTATTCCCGATGTAGTATATGATAAATGCCCTGCAGTAGAAATAACTGAATTAAGAAAGAAACTTGTATGCAGTACATTATTTAGCAAGCTTACTTAATATAATATCACAGGTACAGCTCGCCGCAATAATAACGCTATATGTAATGTATGACATATATGCTTGGTACAAATTTTAATAAATAACATAATATATTTACTGACTTAGAAATATTTTACTTTGTATAATAATATGCAAACACATGTAAATCGTAGATGGATGTTGGCCTTAATGAACGAGAAACGTGGTTACCGACAACTATAATTTTATACCATTTTCCCGTTGGACTTTTTTCAGATGAGCACTTAGTGTACATTTATTAGATTAAAATAAAATTATTCAATGTCTGATTTAGTCTTGGAAGTTGCTTATTTGCATTTTTCAAATGCAAATAAAATATTGTTAGCTGTCTTTTCACTTATTTCGAAACTTCATATTACCCTTATCCATATTTCCTGAATTAGTTTTCAGAACTTAACTTAAAATATTTACTTAGAGTAGATATATATTTTATATTTTTATAAATTGTTCGATTTCATACTATCAAATTTTTTTTCGTCGATATTAAATCATTAAATAATGACCAGATGTATATTATTGATATAATTACATGTGAAGAAAAAATTATTTACTTATTAGGTGCATTTTATAAATATGTAGAATGTAAGTAATATATGTGTATGCATAGTGATCCAGTTAAGAGGGTTCACTAATTGTCTCGAAGAATATTGACTTTTTTTGAATTTTTTTTTAAGACTTTCAGATTTATGCTTTTCTAAAACTGTTTAATATTTTAATTTTTTTCACCCTTATATTTATTGTTGTAACTACTATTAACTTTTGATTTTCAAATGGGAACATATAACAAAAAAGTCATAAATAGATAAAACTATTTTTTTTATAAATTTTCTTCGTTATTTCGTTTGCGAGGTACAGTTCCTTAAAGTTTGGTGGTTTAAGGAAGTTTTATAGTCGGTAGTAATACAAATATCGTATTTACAGCTAATTCGTTATGTCTAATATTAGTTGATAGGCTAATAAATGATTTTGGTTCAAAGAACCATCACTTATTAATTGTTAGTTGTTACCTTGAGTTGAACTTATGGAAGAGTGGTTGAACGTTATCGAATTTATCACTTAGAACTCCTGGTCTTTACAAATGAATAAATAGTATAATCAACAACTCCTTAGACAACTGAACTTTGAAGATATGTACCTCGTAAATGAAATAACGAAAAATAAAAATTATAATGCAAATGTTCATAAATAAAATGATTTTAAAAATGTATGACCTTTTTATCATAATATTATGTTCTTATTTGAAAATCAAAAGTTGATAGTAGTTTAACCAATAAATTTAAAGGTAGAAAAAATTAAAATATCATAGTTTTAGAAAAGCATAAACCTAAAAGTTTAAAAAAAAAAAAATTTGAAAAAAGTAAATACTTTTCGAGATAATTAGTGTACCCTCTCAAATGAATCATTCTGTATATATATATCATTCGTTACCAATATGTAATTTTCGAATCCTGCTTGTTTTTATTTCTTACCCTGTTTCCAGAGGTTTTTAATTCAAATTATTTGAATAAAACATTATTTTGATCAAAAATATAACGTACCAATAGTAAAAATAATTATTAATTTATTTGTTATTTTATATGTTTATAATAAAAAGTTATTATTTTTACTATCATTGTTTGTATTTTGCCAACATTTGTAAACACTCAATTTATTGATAATCAGTAATCACCAATCACATTTTATGTAGGTAATGATAAATATGTACACTTTTGCACAATAATGTATTATCTAATTTTATGTTAGATAATAAATCAAGACTTATGAGTTATTTAAGTTATCTAAATATTTTTAAATCTAAACAAAGTAGGTAGGTAGTATGTATACTTATTTTTTTTCATTATTATTATTCTCTGTACAGCTTCAACAACTTAAGTTATTAACTTATAACAATATTCAATAATAATGCTATGTATGATTAAATACAATGGTTTTTCTAGATGAAGTTGTACATATGAATGTTTGAGAAATTAGATTATTTTGATGATGTTGTCTTCGATTACGCTAAAGGCTTTAAAGAGGTTGTCAGGCATCCTTAGGCTTTTTCCAGTTGATATATAACATATTTTTAAATAAAACTCTTAAATTAAATGGATCAAATTTTAATGTATTTCAGACCACATTACATTGTATAAAATTATAAACATTAATTAAATGTGTAGGTACACGGCTAAATTAACAGAATAATTTCAAATACAAGCATAAATAACAATATACTTGTACAGAAAAAAAATATTATCATTAACTAATAATACTTATAAGTTATACTTTTATTAATATTAATGCATAAACCGAAATATAGGGCAAGATTAAATACTATGGTGTCAAGATATATGACTAATTAATAAAGTAAAAATGTGTGTAAGCCTAAAAAAATTATATTTATATACCTACCTAACTTGTAAGTTAAATTAGTAAAATAATAAATATAGAAATACATATAAATTATAATACGTTATGTACTCGTAAAATAAACTCTCCTATACAGCAAATATAAGTACTCATGATATAAATCACATTTATTTATTTTTGATTAAGGTACGAATTATAGAGGTAAATAAAAATATGATTAGGTATTGATTAATTCAACATAAATATCAGTATGAAATTATCAATGACAAAATCAAGAAATTTCACCCACTTACTTATATTATAACACGTAACAACACGGAGTAAAAATTTTACTTTCACAGAAATATTACTTCTTATAGAAAAAAATCTCAAACATTTTTTCTAATTTATTTCTTATATTCAATATGTGTACATATTGTAGGTATAACATTATTATAGTTGTATTGTCTTTCAAATAAAATAACTAATTTTTTAATCAGTTTTTTTCTGACAGTTGTCTTAAAAGTAGATAAGGTTTATTTTGTATGCATTGGACACAGGTAGGTACTTAATTTTAACTAGCTGTTATTAATAAAAATATCTTACCTTTAAAGTTTATTAAATTTTGGCTCAACACACTTCATGATATTTTAGAGATATGTTTTAAAATAGGTAGATATTATTCATTATTTCGTCAGACTCTATTTTGTACTTTGTATTAATTTAAAATATTTGCAGTTTTCACAACTTTAAACTTGTAGTTTAAACCAATTTAACTTGAACAATATTTTTCTATAATTTGAAATTGTATTTCTACTATAGGTTCGAAAAAAACATCATATAACATAACATATATTATATACGATGTGTGCTATTAAAATAAACAATTTCCGTTCAAAGGAAAAACAAAGTTCCCACATTATATTTCCACTAGGAATAATTATAATAATATACTTGCTGGGGAACACTGTGCACAATATAACTGACAAAGGTCAGATCTACCACAGTCGCAGTGGCAACAGTGTGCGTTATGTTCGGTATTCGACCCATGAAAACCACTATCCCTGCGAAAGGGTGCATAATATAATATACGCGCCATACGAACTGTAACAGTTTTTTGCACAACATATTTCTATAATAAAATGGTTTATTTTATTATCAAGCTGTAATAGCCAATTATTGACAACAGCTCTTAACACAACTTTAAAAATAATACTTTCTTTATTGTTTGTATCTTGCTTAAAACAATATTTGTGTTATAATAATGGTCGTTTAATAATAATCGACACATTTAAATGTGATTTATGTGATGATTACAGTATTTTCAAATAATATTTTTACCATCCTGTAATATTCGTTTACAATTAGTGTTAAGCGAAGTTGGAAGCCTATAAATTATTTCCGATCCGTTTTGTTTACCTATATTTTTGGTTAGTTTATTCTGAACTACAAGAGCAAGTTAGATTTTTATTTCAATTTCATCTTGCTCGTTTAATGCCTGAGTAAACTGTAGAATACAATATGAGTACTTAAAATTTTCACGAATAGATATCTACAATGTTGATGTTTTATCTTTTATATAATCTATTGTTTCGTTTACGAGAACAATAGAAACACTCTAAAATGTAAAATGATCGATAACCGATTTATTGGTATTGAAAAATTCCAAAATATGACTATAGAAATAATTTTGTATTGAGCCTAAAATTATAAAATTCTGAAGTATGAAATGTGGCCTATTTGCAACTATTACGTACTTACAGTGAGCAATATAATTTGTATTCTTTAAATAATTTTCTATCTTCATTATTATGCATACGATCATGAAGTAGATAAATGTTGTAATTATAATATTATATTGTATTGTATTTACACACCTACTTGTCTCATAGAATTTTTATAACAATCAATTAAATGCAATACATATTTTAGTGCCCATAACATTTTATTGAAACCCGGCCAGAGTTAATATTATTTTATATCGTAATAATTCATTGCATAACTCTTGTTTTCATTTAGAGTGACAAGACCCAAGGGGAATGTTCCAGTTGTGGGCAAGGGGCGTGCACACATTCGTTATTACACAACACCTGCCCATCAAAAACAGTATGTATACTTTTGCAATAAGCGCGTAAAAACGTTTATTAGACTAGTTTAACGTTTGAAGTAAAAAAAAAAATGTTCTGTTCTTGCAACAGATCTATTAAATTTAATTATTAAATAGTGTGTCGTGGTTAATTTAAATTTAATAGGTACCTGTGTGATTAGTATTGGTGAATAAGCTATTTATTATTTATGTTATACTATAAGGTTTATTTGCATAAAAAAATTTACAAAGAGATCTACTACACCTATTAACACATAGGTACATAAATAGGTACCGCAGGTTAAAATACAATTGTGTTTACCAATTCGTATACCTATTACTATATTTCTTTGACGGAAAATTGCCGCTTTCGTTGCAATTTATAAATATAAAAATAATTAATATAATATAAGTAACCTAACCTAATTGATTTCCACATGACATTAAGTGCCTATACCTACACTCGTATTTTATCAGTTTTCATGTTTTCCATTTTAAAATGAAACTTAAACTTATACCTAAGGGATTTTTATTTTTATTACCTCATATTCATTTTATTATCTTAAGCTAAGCAATTCTTATAACTTATTCTATGTATGCCTTAGTCCAGCAGTTCTCAAACTGCGTTTCGTACTTCCGTGGCCCCCAGGGATCTGTGACACTCATGCCAGAGTCCGCGACACTCATGACAGGGTCCATGGCCCTATGAACTAAATCTAAAAGTTTTAATTCCATTTCCTACAACATTTATTTATGCGAAAAACCCTTTACCCCTGTAATTTATATTAAAAACAAGTTTCGAAACTGCATATAACACAGAATTTGAACTACGATTAAAACTTTCGAGTACCTATTGAATCTGATGTTCAAAAACTGATGTCCGAAATTCAACACTGCATTTTGAAAAGTTCAAGACACTTTTCTAGCACTCCCAAAAAGGGTTTACTGCAGAAGAATAGTACCAATGAGCTATGATACATAACATTATATTACAATGATTTCAAACACGTCATAAAAATAGAAAAATAAATTTACCTGTACTGTATAATAATAATAATGGAAAAAAAACTTAAGTTTTGAATTGTAAAATTATAATATTGTGTTATTATATTTTTATTTTTTATTCAGGAAGAGCAAAATATCAGAAGCAATGGCGGCAACAAACGTAAAATGCCACCACACCCGATACGGATCGCTAAGACCATCGACGTCATCGCTCGCATCACATTTCCGACGGCATACGCAGTGTTTCTGATATTCTTCTTTATCCATTACACTAGTCATCCAAGCCATTGGTCCCAGTAGACATATTATTATGTATTATACGGGTGGCTCAAGAAGCTCAACGTTTATATATAGCAATATAATAATAATTTAATATAATGTTATTTTAAATACGATCAATACCGGTATTGTTTACAACTTTGAATTGGACTAATAAATGAAGGGGTCCAGTAAAATTAATCTAGATCTAGAAACAAAATAATTTAGGCTTGAGAAAAAAATCTCATACCACGGACAAAACAGCATTTCTAAAATCTAATAATATTATTAAATATCGACAAGTTGTTTGGGGCAGTTGTGTTTAATTGTATCAAAAAAATAAAAATTCATTAAAATACAGTTAGTTTTGCTAAAACCCAAATAGTGAATAGTATTTATTATATTATTCAAAAAAACTACAAATATTTCTTAATTGTAGTTTTTGCATTGGACTTTTAAATTATTTTGGTACCGTGGATATCTTTTTAGGGTTACCATCAAGACATATTTTAGCATTATAACCAAGAGTTATATTTTCAGAAGTCACTCGATGAAAACAAAATAATTTTAAATTGTAAAAAGCATTACATTACGGCCACAAAAATAGTCCCGTCTAAAATTTTAGTTAGAAAATTAAAACACATCATAAAAATATTATACTAGTCACAATATTATATTTGGTAGGCTCGTACGTTTATTGTTTAATAAATTACCACGATGTCGATATATATATATATATATATATATATTATAGATATGAAGATTGTTTTTCCCGTTGTTTGAGATTCATTTTTTCAAGATTTTTTACCCATTAGAAACCGATAGTTATATATAATATCGTATATAATAAATATAATACTATCAGATATTCCGGCAAATGGCAGGGGTCGATGTGCAGTATTTTTGTGATCGTAAAGTGCAGAAGTTATCGAACGACAGTTGTGTGTCTGTACAGATATCAACGCATCACGCATTGACTTCATTATATAAGTGCAATGTGCATAGGTGCATAATATAACGGTTTAAGTTACGCGTAGGTGTACTACACGGATATTGTAGACTTCAAAGTATAATTCACGTATTTTATTTGATTATAAATTCAATGTGTCATATACTCATGTGATAATTTAGTAGCATTTGCTCGTTTATGATTATTGTATTAGGTACCTACTACTATTTCTTTTCTTTTGACAATAAGTACTTTTTAGTATTTTAAATTATAATTCTCATAACGCATAAGGTATATTGTTATAATTATTTCCCCTGTATCTTCATACACTAACATGTCTAGGTACATGTTAGAGTCCTGCTGTGTATGTTTAAAAGTACCAAATAATTATTAATAAGTCTCTTGGACATATTATACCTAGGAACAATTTTTTCGGTGTACCTATTCTAAATTTATATGATTTATGAAACATGGAAGTACCTATACCTACTTATCATAATTTCAACAAATATTTACCATCCAAATGTGTTTTGTAACTAAGTAGGTACCTACTTCATTTTCTGGTTCTTCAGTTGTACGACGATACTTTAAACAACAACAAAATATCATTAAACTTTACCCGTTACGACACAACGCAGATGGGTAAATATCTTAATGGTACATTTCGCCGTAACGTAATTTCTCTAAAATGAGTATCGTGAAAAAAATGTAACGTAAAAATCAAAAGCGCCTTTTCAAAATGTTTGATCATATTCGTATGAAAATAGCTACATAGTCGTGGACCATAAAATTATATTTACTTGTAGACAATTAATTGTTGTAAAGTATACAGGTAAGACATACTAGGCTCTCTTAAAAAATGTTTCATAATACTAATGTTCAGTGTTCGGGACGTTCACTAAAAAAATTAATTCGTTCAAATTCACGTTCAGTTCACCAGGAACTCGTTCGTGTATCGTTCACCGAACATGAACGTGTGAACGTGCGTTCATGAACGACGTTCTTTCCAAACACCGTTAGTATTATAGGTATACTAATTATTATATATGTACCTATATATTGTATTCAGTATTCTAATAGAATAACAATAATTGATCCGATACGAAATCGTTACAATTTCTATTGGTTATTTTTTCATTTATTATCATAGCTCAACAATAATTTATATAAATAGGTATATATTGCGTTATTTATAGTCTTATAGATGAAAATTGTATTAATAATTCTATTTCGATCTGTTAATACTTTCGGACAATCAGAACCGTGTATATATTGTGTACGTCTGGATCTTTAACCTTTTCAAAATGATGCAGTTAACTTAAGACGCGCATAGGTCATAGGTGCATATTATATCAGTAATAATTCTAAATACATCATTTTTTTTTTTAATCTACGCATCAGGATTAGATTTTAGTCTTTAAAATAATTGAAACCCGCCTTATTCACGCCTTGTATAAAACGTAGGTACCTTCACATTTCACCAAATAAGTACCGTACACCCTCCGATATTTAAATTTCACGTACAGGGTCTAGTGTTTAATATTTTTGCATCCAATATTTTCAATGTTTCAATAAATATAATCTTATTTTAAAAACATGAATAAAAAAAATTATAAAAGAATACTGTCAAAAAAAAAACGCATTACTGTTGTACGTCCTGTGTTAGTGGCTATATAATATGTACCTAGTACAAAGTTGTATAATATGTGATAAGTACCTACATAATATGTACTAATCAGTTGTCACAATAAAAAAAAATAAAAACGACATATTTTATAAATTGAACCAATCATCTGTAATATTCATGATTTTGTTTTTACGTTAGAACTATGTCTTAAGTGCCAAAATATTCATTTAGAAAAATAGTTTGGGAGTATAATCAAGAAATGTTTAGAAATTGTCCAACTTAAGTAATAATAAAGTGCGATTATAAAATAAAAAAAAAATTTATACAACACAATATATAGTGTACACCACAGGTTTCTTTACCTACGTTGTTAATTTTGCTTTGTGCATAAGTGATAAAATTGACAAACATTTCATAAATTATCCACCAATATATTAACAATAAAGGTTTCATTAATTTAAAATAAAATGTCGATTTTTAAAATAAAAACAATTGGTAGTATAATATAGTAGTATACTTATTGTAAAAAAAAAAATAATAATAAATTGCATTAGGTACCTACTTATTTTTTGAACAGAACTACAACTGATGTACCTACCTATTAATGCACTTTGCGCCGCTTAAAAAAAATACTAATACGTAATACTAATACTACGTCCTACACGCACACTCACATTGTACGTCCAAAGTCAACTTATTACAATTTAAAACAACAGTTCACAGCATCTATTCATCCCTAACAAAACTCTAATTTCTGCGTTGTACCTAGACAACTAGTATTAATTTTTAAATTTTTGCAATAATAGTCATTATTTCATATAGATACCTAAATAGATAGGTACCTAGGTAGATACTATAGATAGGTATTAGCAATATTAGCTAGCTTAAGTGCCCACTTTCAATTACCTACGGCACAATTTATGTGTGCGATCATTGCCTTATTAGTTAATTCCATTTTATGATCACACATTAATAATTCTTTTTTATTTTGTGTTATTTGTAATCGTTTTAGCCTTGTTGATACACGTCTGTGTTTACAATGAGCTTTATTTTCCACTACCTTATTTGACATTTCACAGAAATTCAAAAAATATAATACGGCATCCGATTTGCGGAGCCGCACGAGTTAAAAACACGGGAAATCACTTAAGAAAAATGAACTTTGGGCTCTAAAAGGTCAAAAACTATAAAATTTACATGCACCCCGTGTCGTAAATTATACATCTAAAATATTCTTCATCAGTCGTGACGCATATGACACATTATACATAAATCACTTTCTGTGTGTAACATTTTTTTTTGTGTCATCTTCTTAGCGTAAATTGCATAGTAGGTACGTCTTGAAATATTAGTACCTAAGTAATAATATATTATTTTAGAGTAAATACATTATACATTAATACAGTATCATCAAAATTCTTGTAAAAGATTTATTTAATTAAATAAATACAATTTTATGATTAAAAACTATACATTCATCCAGAAGTGTGCTCAGAAATTTCAAATGGGGAGGGTTCAAATTTTTTTTAAAAATATAATCAATATGCATTATGAGTTAAAATATAAGTAGTAAGTACATATTATATATTTGTCAAGTGTCCATGGAAGAGATTTGAACCCCCTAACATCCCCCCAGAGCACACCTTATTCATCATTAAACACTCGGTAATTTACATGCATTGTCGCATAGATATGACATATTACATAATATTTTTAACACACTACAATATAAAAACTATAAAATAGTCAGCTACAGAACTGGTATTATAGACTTTTGGCTTTTATATTCTTATACAACTTATAAAAAACACAAGTCATGCACCTACCCTCTCAAGTTCAAAAAACTATAAAATAACCTATTAAATAATGGGTAGTTTTCTTTTTATACCATATTCAAGCCATCGAGGTAATCGAAATTTAGAATTTCAAATACTACTTCTATGTAAGCTGTTATATTTATTTGATTTCAAAAACGACATATAGATACACCTTTTACAGTTATTTTCGTTGTGTTATGGATTGGTTATTGGATTTTACATTGGTTATTGGATTGTTAATAAAACGCTTTCTTATATTGTAAGGTTATTTAAAACTTAAATAATTTGATATTTTTAGATAGATGAGGTCTAGGTACATAATAACCAATAAAATAAACTTATACCTAATATTATTATTATACTCAAATTCAATAATCGTATTTATTTATTTTTCAAGACGAAAAGATTAAAAACATTTGTAAGAAATATTTATAATTAGGTAGGTACGTATAGTAAAAATGTTTCAAAATGATATTGTTTTCATTTTCCACTGAGACAAAGGGTATTAATAAGCGATTTTATTTATTATTTTTACACCTAATAGGCGATTATAACACTAAACATGATATGCATAAATATTAAAATTTAAGACCGCACTTGAATTATTTTCAATAACATACATGCCAATATTGAGTTTACTGCAGGCGTATTGACATTTTCAGAAATTAAAAATTTAAATGTGCCTTCTTACATGTACTTGTATTATGTCGTAGATAACTTGTAAAGCTGCATATGAATGAATTATTAATGTTTACAGTATTTCCTACATTGATACCTAGATACCTATTAAAAAGTAACTTATTTTAAATGAACTTTAGTACACCTATTACTAGTTACCATTATGTACACTATTCGGTTTTATGTAATGTGTGGGTACTTATACAATATTATAAAATAGATATATTGATCTCTTTTTTCAATAATTAAAAACCTGGTGAAGGAACTATAATAGGTTGACTTTCCTATGCAGCGCGCTTTGAGTGGTTGAGTGGTGGTGGTCGTCATCGTTACTTCTGTATGGCTACCACAATTATTATAGCTACTCGATACATAAAATAAAGTCGATACATCCTTCCAAAATTGACAAGCATCACACCAATTTATTGTATTTTTAAACGGTATAGGAATTTACAATATATTGCATCATGATAATTTGATATTCATGTTTCAACAAATTGAATTGAATTTATAAATATCATCCATTTATTTGAATCTATGTAAGGTTTAATTTCAATATTTTATAATAAATAATTGGGTTAAGTTAGACCCATCGGCTAAACATACTTGAAAAGTAAGCTACAATACATGTATGTTAGTTGGATGATCGTATTATACGGAATAATATGTTCTGTGTACTGCGGCAAGTAGTGAGAATGATATTCCTTTTTTTGATACTAAATAAGTAGGTATTAGAATTAGCCCAAGTCATGGCCTATTTATTCGTCAAATATAAAATATATAGGTAACATATAATATGTTGCCACTTGCCAAGCAAATAGTTATAAGTATAACTTGAAGTGTCTATTTTTTCGTTTTTAACAAGTTAGAAATAAAATCCATCAGCACAATATACAATAAAGTTTAAAATGTTTAAATCGTTAGTTATTTCTTTAATATCTTTAACTTACCTATCTGGTTGTTGAGAAAACTATGTGCAAAATTTTACGAAATGTTATGACTTTGCCAATTTAACCGTTGACTTTTGTTTTAGTAATATACTATCTAAAAATAATTTTGTACCGAAAATAAGTATATACGTATCTTGAATAGTTTAATAATCGACAAAAAATTGTTTTTTTCATAAATATAATATATTTCATAATACATTTGCTAAATCATCAAGTTTTAGAAGGTGTAGGAATAATTCTTATATCAATATGATAGAAGTAATAGTAAATCAGAGAAAAATCAAATAATATTTGTTCATCGATTTTGGAAAAAATCCAATTAGCCAGTTTGATAAAAATCAATAAAATATCAAGTAGGTATTCATTTGATTAAGTTAAAATATAGATAAGTATGTACCGCGGGCCAAAGTCTGTCATAATATTTTAGTCATTTAGGATTTATACCTATTTTTTTATTTGTTGACGTGATACGTATTATTTATATAGTGAACTCGATTTTACACTATCATTCAATTTGCAATCATTACTCATTATTGTAGGTACGTCATTCACATTAATATACAAGGGATTCTAACACCATTAAAGTTATAAAATAAATCATTATGCGTTTTCTTATGCCTATTTGTTTAATCAACAACCTATATTTAATATTTATAATATTTTTTTAGTTACCTATTATAATAATATCATTACATTATATTATTAATTATTATCATGGCTTGCAACGCTTTTCCTGTTCTTTCTTTTTTTATAAAAACAACAACCACATCTAAATTTTAAATCATAATCGTAATATATAAGTGCCTTTATGTAGTTGTATTGTTTTGAGAATAATGGTTGTAATTTAATATTGTTTATCAAACATTATAATAATGGATCAACGGGTAAATTTGTAAATTGCAAATTGTAATCAAAGTTTAGTGGCACATTGAACGTTATGGAAAACACAATATTTCATTGTGTGTGCGTATATTTTATTTGGGTATTTTTAAGCAGTCAAGCATATCAATTTACGCTGTGTTATTATTTTTAAAGTTGTATAACTCGTATTATTATTATTATTATTATTATTATTATTATTATTGTTATATGTCTAGTGGCATCGGCATAATGATTTAAATTTATGTTAGTTCGTTTTAATATTATATTATAGCAATTATTAATTTGTTTCTAATATTTTTTTCTTTATGCATTGTCCTTTTTTATAAAATATTATTTTAGAAAATGAAAAATAACGTTATTGCTATGTGCTAATCATACTCGAGAAAAATTGATACATTTTATATTGTCAATAAAATATAATATAGGTAATATACTAACATGTAATATTATATTACTATTTATTATATATAATTAAACGTCAAAATTGTATAGATTACTGTTTAACAGATAAATTAATAAAATGCTTGTAATATTTTAACATATTCAGTAGTCTTAGATTCAATTTATATAAAATTTATATATGTACCTATATAATATGAATAAAATATATGACTTTAGAGGAGTTTAGATTTAATATATTTAATTTAATATTAATTTTCTTTAAATCATAGATTAGCTACATTATTTGTAGTTTTTTCTTAACTAAAAATAGTTTTAAAGTATTTTTTTTCGGCATTTGTTATTTTATACACAGGTACTCATTTTTCTTGTTATAAAAAATATAAACATATAGATATTTATATTATATAATATATTTGATACACAATAATTTTATGATTTTTTTATAGATACATAAATTATACTATTATTATGAGTAATGACCAACAGCATAGCGTCTGCGTACCACCTACCTAAACTTTAAAACATTTGTCACCTATTATTTTAATACTTAACAGAAATGGAAATCAGTAACTTAAATAACTTTTAAATATTTGCCTACGCGAAACAACTTTAAAGTTTAAATACAAATTATTAATAAATTTTAAAACTATGATGTTGAAGATGCGGATTCTATTGTATTATTAATATTATTTTCTTTTCTTAAGTAAAGGATACATTCTCAATTTCTTAAGTACCTCCACAAAAAAGTATAAACAAATATTAAATTTACCACTTTTATTTTTATTTGCTTTTTTAACATACTTATTCTGAACAAGGAATAAAGATAAGACTATAATTTCTCAAACTTAATTTAAAGTTGGTATACAAGATTGATACAAAACAAATAAATTGCAAACAAAACATTTTCATTTGGATATTTCAAATTGAAATTAATAATATTGGTATCATTATTATAGATGGTTATAAAAAAAAAACTGACCTAAGGTACAAAATATATAAATAGAAATCTAATATTTTTGGTATTATTTTTTTTACAAATTAAATGGCCCTTCACTATCATATCGAAATTGACCATTATTCAAAGTGGTAATTCCCAAGCCGTATAAATGACCACAGTATTTTTTACTGTCAATCATTCCCTCAAAGTACATATCTCTGATTTTGAAAAAAGCCATACCCGTTAATAAGGAATCGCTACCAGCCTGATGTTGAGGTCCAATGCGCTTTAGTTCTAACTGATCGGCGACCTCTTGCAGACCGCCCTTCAAGTTTTTGCAGCTCTTCATTAGGTACTTTATGTCATACACACATGGAAAGTACAAAGAAAACATCTCAAAAAACTCTGACTCTTCCTGAGGTAGTTTTTCATCTGTCAACACTTTAACCAAGTAACCAAAATCAAAACTACTGTGAAATGTCATCCATTTTAAATTATCCATCAAAACTAAACCGGATGTTATTATAAATTCAGCAAAAACTATAGGCTCGATTCCATTCTCTTCATGATTTTTAAATTGGATTCTATGAAACAAAATTTAATTTTAAGATAAACGTCGATTGCAAGATTGAAAAAAAATTATCAGTTACCTGGAATTTGTCAATAATTCTATGCTGTCTTGAGCGTACATGTCTTCTGACAAATTAAATTTGAAATTGAATTGCCATGTAGTAAATTGGCCAGTGGGTGTTTTACCGTCTTCATCAAAAAAAGAGAGGCCCAATTGAATAATTCTCAAAAGATCAACATTGCATCGCAACAACTGATAAAGATAATCGGCAGCTGTCTTGAAATCACCGATTGGTCGAGCTACAACTCCAGGAAATTCTGTGTCCAAGGCTACATAACAATATTTTGGCAATAGTTTTCGTATTGACGCAAATTCTTCTTCTAAATTATGAGCCCACACATCTTTTATACCACAATCAGGCCGTATCAATGTCTGTAGTTCTGGTTCTTGTTCGTCTACTCCAGTGGTAGGTGTTTCATTATTATCAGACATATCAATAGTGGTTTTTCTTAACCTGTATAATATGTGCACATGTAAGTCTTAGAATTTTTTTTAGTAATAATTTGTGTCGGTTAGAACATTAGGTAGGAACAATTCAATATTATAAAAAGGATCAGAAACGTAGACAACATTATGTTTTTTGTATGCTACAGACTACCTACTATTATGGGTATATAATTAGAGCAAATTTTATTCAATAAATCAACAAAACAATTAGAAAGTAAATTAAATTTAAAAATAAAGAACCTTTATATAAGTACCTACCTCATGGGCATATATATCTTGGATCGTACTATAGATTTATTATAAATATTTATTGATAGATGAAAAAATAAATCTTTGATTTAATAAAAAAGAAAATATACCTGCTTTTTTAATAGGTATTGTTACATTTTTTTAAGTTTATTTCCATATAGGTAAACTCATATTTTATTCTAAAAAGTAATTGTATACCTACTGTACTATTACATTTAGACAAAATAATTTATCAATAGAATTTGAATACTTGCATAGTAGCATATATACATTGTACATAACATGAATGCAATTTTTCAAAAAGTATTAAGTCATATACTTTATACCACTACCACAATGTAAATAAAATGTATCTACCTACATAATTTTTATATTTCTATTGTGCTTTACACCTAAATATTTAGTTACAGACACGTATAATTTTAATGTATCAGTCATGTTATAATTTAAAAATTGGATTAGCATTAACAATACAAACTATAACTATAGACATGATAACAAGTATATTGGCAAGTGACATAACATACCTACTTAGTACTTAAGGTAAAATAAAATTAAGAAATATATTTACCTATACATATTTTCTATCAAAATAAGATTATCTGAATACTAAGTCATGAGAATATTAATTATGTCCAGTTGCGTGGCGAATGGAATAATATTGAGAGGCAACTACCACTGACTTTTTTAAGGGACGATGGATGATAATGGCCAATATGTAATAATTTAGTATTAACTATACTACCTAGTACCTACCTGTTTTAGTAATAAGTAATAACTATGACAATTGACAGACAGTTACAAATATTACAGTGAATGCCTTTACCAGATTACTGGTGCTAAAATAGTGTAAAATATTAAAGTAGGCTCTTAACAACATTTTACTTTGGCATGCCACTGATTATGTCACCTATTAATTTAAAATCTATAGTTTTCCAAGCTAGTACAATAACATTTTCTACTTAAATCTGATAAGTATATACTTATATTACCTATATATATATAAATAGACATTGATTTTATAAATTATATAATTAATATTATATTATCATGGTTCATATTATAATCAATGTTACCTAATAACATTTCATTTTGAAAATATACAATTTAATAAAATAGTTAATAACTATTTTAAAATAAGCAAGAATAAACACAGTAACACTAACATATTCCCAATAAGTATTCTGAAAAAGTTTCCCAATAATAATATGTAAGCAACAATTTACTATATTTTTTAACATGTTGCCCACTGGCAACTACAGTGGTATTAGAGAGTGCTGAAGAATCCCAAGGTAATTGTCTTTATAATTTAAAGTATCTCCCTACCTAAATTTAATGAATGTAATTTTATTTTAAGAATTTATGTTCACATTTATTTTTATCTTGCATTTCAATAATTGTATTATATTAATATTATATTAAAATCACTCCATTGCCTATACCCGGGAGTTTAGCTACAAGTGAACGTGATTTAAAATGCAAAGATTAAAATTGGATAAGAAGCAATAAGGTACACAAAAATGTTTTAACAAATTAAGCATCATAAAGTACAAATATCCAGAGATTTGGCTAATGAAATTAAGAGAGTAAATATCTAACACATTTTCTGATAGACACATAACATTTTGTTTAACATTAGCCCCCCCAAAAAAAAAATTATTAAAAACAAAATGATGACTTTTTTTAAAATTAGTACCTATGCATTTTTTAGCACAATAAGTACCTACCAATGAATGATAACAGAATAAAATTAAAAATCCGAATTTGAATAAGTAGCCATCCATAAGTGACACTTGACGGGGAGTTGTTTAGTTACCTGTGTACTCGTATACATATTTATATATTTATTTGTAACGTATGGTTTGTGTGGATAGGTTTTTTATGAGTGGATTATTATGTGTTTGAAGACGGTTATGAAAGATTTTGTATAGAACTATAGAAGTGTGCAGCTACTTCTACAAATATTAAATGTTAAAATTAAATAATGGCGATGTGTAATATTGAGTGGTGTGCGCACTGAGAATTGCATAATAATTGTAGCACCCTCAAGATTTAAATTAATTTAGATTAGATGTGCCACTTCTTAGTATTACTATTTAAACTAAAATAGCTACCTAAGACTTCTACTCAATTTATACATTATACTTTGATTTATACCTAATGACTAGTAGGTACTAACATAATGGAAAACAGCATAACAATCAAAGAACATTATTAAATGATTCATCTATCAAATGTGTTAACACTATCTATGCCATAAAAATAATTATATATTGTATAACAGAAACAAATTTAAAAAAAAACTTATTAAAAAATATTAAGCAAAAATGTAAATTTTAAATTAATAAATAAATAAATTAATTAATTACTGATTCTCAAAAATTAAAACATGCTAAATAATAACTCATACTTACTCACAAACTTAACACGGAACACAGTATATTAAGCTGGTACCACTTCACTCAAAATTAATGTTTCTGCGATGTTAAATGTTCTACACATTTTGGACGTCAATGAGAATTTCCTTGAATCATGACACAACAAATACTATTTAAAATGTGTCTATAGTTTACTTTAATCCTTATGAATTAATATAATTGTGTCTATCAATGGCTATCTTAAGAAAACCAATTGAATAATTCAGTATCAACTACCAGCCATCAGGCAGCACACGCAGCAGGCACCGTAATAAGAAATAAGAATATTCCAAATTCAAATATTCTCGACCGTCGACCGTCAATATTAATAAATAGTATTTATTATTATTATTATTATTATTTATTACGTTCTTTCATGATATTACGCCATTACGGGAAAACACATGTCGTGTGTATAAATAGACAAGATTTATATAAATTATGAAAGATTATTACGTATCAGGATTACGGTCTACTGATTAATCATTAATATTATTCGTCTGCCATTCCCCCATTCCGCATTTCGTACACTATTCGGTCGGACTTTGACAATTCCACACTAAAATGTACAACTACCATGCTATCGCAAATAGCGCTATCGCAGTTGTAGTACAGAGTACATCAGCGACTGGCGAGTATCAGACTACCAGAATACTAGACACCTGCGAGTTGCGAGTGTTGCGACCTGCCACCTGCATAATATAATGTTATTTCAAGTCTCCGTCTTACAAAGTTCCAAATTCAAAGGCGAAGGCGCGGGGCGTGCAGTAATAGTGGCTAATGAGTAATGAATAATGATTAGCCATTAGAGATAGGTATGGCAGAAACAATCTGGTGAAGCAGGTACTCCATTAAAGATAATTCAGAGATAGTTGTATGGTTTCTAATAGCTCAATATCAAAAATAGAAGTAACAAGTATAGTTATAGTTACTTTTTTTTATGACACCGGCAATTGATGTATGCTTTAAAATGTTTGATGTTTTCAATTTGAAATATCCACTACAATCGTCGATTGAGTATGAATTGTGCGTACATAGTTCTACATTAGATAATATTTGCAAGTAATGTAATAAAGCCATAATATTTATTATATTTGGCCAGATTTTATCTAATTTGAACAACGACACTATGTCTTAATAACATAACATAACATAATAATTTATTTAAGAAAATAATAAATACAATAATACAAAATAGTATAAATACACAAATAACATAAATTTACTTAAATTAAATGTTTGCATAATAAATAATAAATATTTCCAATGTTTAACATTGATCATATAAAAAGTAATTAGAATAAGATTTAATAA